TCTTCTTGCAGTCCATGGGACTCTCAAGAGTCTCCTCCAGCACCACAATTCAAAAGCATCAATTCTTCGGCGATCAGCCTTCTTTATGGTCCAGCTTTCACTTCCATACATCACTACTGGGAAACCATAGCTTTTACTATACAGATGCTCTATCCCAGGCCAAATCACTCTGTCCGAAGTTATTTGGGATTCCAATTCCCAACTGATACTAGCATCCTATGACTCCTGGAGACCACTGAGCATGCTGTTGCTGGACTGATTTTTGTTGTTTTGATGTCATAGCAAAGCTCAGGATGCCCCTGAGCAGGTTATACTTCCTCCTTGTTTCTGGTGGCTCCATTTGGTTTCCAGTTGTGTTGGCACTCAACTACCCGAGCTTGCTATTAGCGGGAGGGTGATGATGATAACACTGATTATACAGGCTTAGTATTTGGCATTGGTTCCCTTGGATTCCCTGCCTAGAAGTAAGCACAGCAGTCACATCTCTGTGTTGATGATGAAGTGAAATTGCATTGCCTAAGTGCATCAGCATAAGCTCATGCAATGTAAAACTGCCATTCATCGCAGCAGCTCTTAAGATTTCCCTGTCAAGCATGTTGCAATGCAAGCACAGTCAGCCAAGCAGGAAGAACGCAATTGGTGAATGGGATGTCAGAACAACCAGTTAATCTCAAATGTCAATGTTTATTTTGCAAGATAAAAAGACAGGAAGTCCAGTACAAACTCCCACTGATGGGAATTCCCAGGATAGCCATCAAAGAAAGTAATCTTATATTTGAACAATAGTATCAAAAAGTATAGGGACGCGGGTGGCGCTGTGGGTAAAAGCCTCAGTGCCTAGGGCTTGCCGATCGAAAGGTCGGTGGTTCGAATCCCCGCGGCGGGGTGCGCTCCCGCTGCTCGGTCCCAGCGCCTGCCAACCTAGCAGTTCGAAAGCACCCCCAGGTGCAAGTAGATAAATAGGGACCGCTTACTAGCGGGAAGGTAACCGGCGTTTCCGTGTGCGGCTCTGGCTCGCCAGATGCAGCTTGTCACGCTGGCCACGTGACCCGGAAGTGTCTCCGGACAGCGCTGACCCCCGGCCTCTTGAGTGAGATGGGCGCACAACCCTAGAGTCTGTCAAGACCTTTACCTTTACCTTTATCAAAAAGTATGCTCTTAAAAATACAGAGCTAGAGAAAACACAGTGAAATAGGCTGCAATCTAACTCGGGGTTAGGCACGCTTAACACTTGTACTTTTGTGTTCCTTTTTGTCCTCTTCAGTTAGACAAGACGTCAATATATTGAAAGAAGCGTCCTTGTCTCCAAGAACTTCTCTACTCTGCTCATTAACCATGTTGACCATGTTGGATTTTCTTGGTAGCTGGCCATTTACATGCATTTAGTTTAATAGTATTATGGTCAGTGCTTCCAATTGGCTCAACAACACTTACTGTTGACCCGTATTTTTTTGAACCCAAAATTATGAAATCAATATTTTAAACAACAAACAGAACAACTTTGAGCTTTTTTTGGGGGGGGGGAGGTCACCCAAAGTTGTTGAGCTTTTTGACTAAATTTCAACTAAAAATGAGACCAAGATTTGGACTATTATTATTTTTTTAGCAAAAAACATTGTCTTCGACATGGAAAAATACGGTATATCTTGCACCAGATCCTGGATGTCACTTACCATTAGGTCCCAAGTTGCTGCCCCTCTGGTCAGTTTCATGACATCAGGCTACCAGGGTCTTTTCTCCGGGTGACCCCACATTCTATCACACCATGAGTAATTTTGTACAGCTTGATCACATACTACCTTACTCACCATCTAAAATAAAAAGCCCCCAAGGTTGTAATGGTACCTCATAGGGGATTTGCTCCAACCTTTTGACCATTTTGGCTGCCCCTTTCCACCATAGATTTGTACAAAGTCATTATGATACTGACAATTTTATTTCAGTCCCTTTCATAATGATCCCTGAAATTGACTTTGCCTTTTCCACAGCTGTTGCACATTGGGCCAACTGCAGTTGTTACCTTGATGTTGGCACTGTGATGGAGGCACTGTCTCAGCTGTGGCTCCTATCTTACGAATGGACTGGGCTCCCTCCCAATTCATATCCCCAGCTAGTTTCTCCCCGTCCCCATCCAGCTGCTAATGCTTGGAATTCAATCAAGAAGTCCTTGTTAGATTAGCACAAGGAAGTGTTTCCCAACTAATGAGCTCACGTCAATTCTAGCGAGTAGGAGTTTAAAAATAGGGTGGATTTAGTTCAGCGTTGTCCCCTGGAAATGGGGATTTTTGTCAGGGGAGAGGGCAAGGTGGCTGATTAAACTCTCTTAAAGTTTTTTTTTTAACTGAAACTAGCTTTTAACTGGTTTTCTACCAAGCTGAATTAGTCAAGTCACAGACCACTGTATTCACAGCAGCTTTGATTGTAGCACAAACATACATCACACAGCTGAATAGTAGGATGGGGCAGAATAACAGTCATTTTGAAACAAAAGTGTTAAAAATGCAATCCACATGTACACACATGCATGGAATGCAGTTTGCTCACTTTGCTACATCCTACAGAACAAGAGCCAAATGACAACAATAGAACTGGCACTCAGCGGTGTCAGGTTAATGTGAGCTACGGCACCAGCAGTATGTTTGATGCTATTGTGGCCTTAAACTATGGTGACAGAAGACTTAAAAGATAGCAGTTCTCAGGAAGCTTCCCATTTCATGAGATGGTTGTCAGCCTAAACTATCTACCAGCAAACAGTTCTACAGCTACTGCTCTTGTGCTGCTTGCTGGTCTGCCAAGGGAATCTGGTTGGCCACTATGAGAACAGGAACGCTGGACAAGATGAGCCATTGGCCTGATCCAGCAGGCTGTTCTCATGTTCTTGTACAAACAGATCAGCTCTCAGTAAAAAGAAGCATTCTGGGGCAAAAGGGCTCCTTTTTTTGTTTAATAGTACCTTGGGTTAAAAACTTTGCTTCAGGATAAGAACAGAAATCGTGCTTTGGCAGCGCGAGGCCCCATTAGCTAAAGTGGTGCTTCAGGTTAAGAAGAGTTTCAGGTTAAGAACGGACCTTCGGAACAAATTAAGTACTTAACCCGAGGTATCACTGTAATCTACATAAAAGGAGTAAGAATTTGCTCCATGGCAGCGCGTTGTGGCAGATCTCAATGTTCTAGAAGTAAAATGAAGCCCTGGTTTTAAGCCTCTATCCAGTGAAGTGTGTGTTCACATTTCTCCAACAGCACAATTAGGAGGAAGGCTGCTCATAAAGGCAGGAGACCAGAAAAAGGTCAGTGCATCTGAAATATTTGTTGGCTTCAGGGCATTAGGTTCACTCCCACTAAAAAGAGCATACCAAACCATTTCTGCAAACTTTTGTACAAGTTAAGCCATCACAATTATAGCTTTGGGTGTGTGAATGATGTAGTGTACATGGAATGCAGTACAGGTAGATCATCATGACTGCCATAGGGAGAAGCAAACCTGAAAAATATGGTACCTTAGGGAATACACCTTGACCTGTTAGGGAAAAGTTAGCAACTTTCTTAGTAACAGAGCAGGACCACAGACTTGTTCTGTACATCTGGAATGAGGAACAAGGGGCTCCAGGCAGCTTGGCCAACAGTAAGACATGATGGCAGCAGCAGTCCAGCAACACCTGAAGCACCACAACCCAAAAAACCTTTGGTAAGCGGAGAGTTCTGTAGCACATGCATACCTATGAGACTGCTTTGCACAACCTGACACCCTGCAGAGGTTTTGGGATTCCAACCCCCATCAGCTCCAGCCAGCATAGCCAATGGTCAGGAGATTATGGGAGTTGTAGTCCAGCAACATCTGGAAGGCCACAGGAAAGTGAGCTATGATGGCTAGGAGGATCCTCCATGTATGGAGGCAGTGTATCTCTGGGAACAAGCAACAGGCAATGATTGTCACCTTCATCTGCTGTGAGCTTCCTAGAAGCATCAGGCTGGCCACTGCTGGATACCGAAGGTTGGGCTAGATCAGGCAAGAGAACTTGGTGCTCTCCCATCAGCTCCAGCCAGCATGGCCAATAGTGTCAGAGATTATTGTAGTGGTCCAGCAACATCTAAAGGACCACAGGTTCCCCCTCCTGGTGTTAACTGGAGATCCCATTGAAGACTGAACCCTGGTACCTTTGCATGCAACGCGGATGCACGGAGCTCCTTGACTTTTGAGGAATGTCATTTGCCAGTACAATTATCTGCTGCTACTGTCTGAGTAGATTTGCTACAAATTTGTTTTTAGCTTATGCATGCTTTTTGCACTGTCTTACTTTATGCTTGTTCATAGGTTTAAAGTACATCACAATTGGCTCTTTCTAAAGGGTTGTAAATACTGGTAAATTCTAGGGTGCCTTCCATATACTGTACATAGTTCCCAGGGTTTCCAAGGCTTGAAAACAACGGGCATTATTATTCCCATACTTTCCTTATATTAGTGCTGCCTTTTCACACTTTTCTTCTGTGAGGGGAGGGGGTGGTTACCCTTTTATACTAGCAAAGCCTAACTGTTTGCACCATATGTTCTGGTAAAATACAGAACTAGAATACAGTAGATTCCAGCGTATTAGGCGACTGGGCATAATAGATGACCCCCCCAAATTGGCAGCTGCAATTTGGGGGTTCGTCTTATAAGCCCAGTCGCCTAATCCGCTGGGCAGCTCCACGCTGGGAGAAAGCCACCCAGCGCGGAGCAGAGCCCGCCGCCAGCTGCTGCTGCTTTGGAGCTGCCGCCGCAGGGGGTGGGCTCCACTCTGCGTCGCCCATACCCAGCGTATAAGACGATCCCTGACTTTTTAATCTCTTTTTCAGGGTTCTCAATTTGTGCATATTCCCAGCTAATTACAATTTGGGGCATCCTTAGACATTATGTACATTGTTGATTGTATATACACAAGATAGAAGATTCCTTTAACCCATCCAGGGATTCTTATTCGCAGAAGAAAAGGGCACAGGCCTCCTTACCACTCATCTGAAAGTTTTAAATAAAATGTTTATTGGAGCAGTTACCTTGATGAACCAAAAAGCAACAACATTTAATCTGTTTTTTGTTTCTCTCTCTCTTTTTAAAAAAGCAATATTCTTTGCCTTCATGTCTTAGGTGAACTCAAAAGATGTTCTACAGAGCTTCTGCCAAGACAGTTCCACAAGGCATTCCAGCATGGATTACTCATATCTGCATCATTAAAATAGTCATCCACACACTCTCTGGCCACCCTCCTCTCTCAGAATTGCAGCCTCTTAAAGACATTGCTGGCACAGGGACCCATCTTCCTCTTCACTCTGCAGCATTGGAACCAGTATCTGGAAGTGAGAAGAAGGCAATTTAAAACAGGGCACTGCTGTTAAAGACAACTCCAAGTCCAAAATGAGATCTCACAAATTTTATGAGCAGCTCTCCAACTTTTGTTAGCTCCACAAGGCTTCCGTGAATCCTGAATAAAACTAAGAGATTTGTGCTTAATTTTTCCATTACTCAATTATTTTCACTGATTTCATTCTAAATCTTACCCTAAGAGTTAGGCCATTGAGCCATATATCTAAGAATTGTTGCATGTGCTTGGCACCTTTCCAGGTGTCTTGCCACTTGCAAAAAATTTCAGGGAGTCAGGCTGAGATGCCAAGAACTGAACCTGGGACATTCCTTATGCAAAGCATACACTTTACCACTGACCTAGAAACCCTTCCTGCTGAAGTTCTGGTGTAAGTTGTATGGGGAGCTGTATACACAACTTCATAGACCAGGTTTTTCATATGGATTGAGCCAGTTTTGAACAGAAGGCAGCTAGAGAGGAAACACTGCAATCAGTAACAGTGGCTCCCTCTCATTATCTCTAGGGCTGTTGACTGCACTGCTTCACTGTCTTCAACACAGGGGAAGGGAAGCTTTCTGGGGTGGGGTGGGCAGCACATACCAGTAGTGGGTGGGGCCAGAAACACATGTAGGTGGAACAATGCATGGAAGCTTCTCCTCTGTACAATATGTCACATTCCATCCATGCAGAAGTGGAGATATTTCTGCACCCATACACCCATTTCTCCATCCAGGCAAGTAAGAGGCATTGTCACACTTCAAGGACATATTCCAGGCAGGCAAAAGTACCCGAGAAGGGGTTGGAGAATAGCTGCTGAGAGGTGTGGCTTAGGGAGAGTCCCAAGGGCTATATAGGGCCTGAGGTTTCCCACTCCTGCTTTAAAAAGAACATGGCAGACAGGGGTTTTCTCTCTCCCACACCTGGAGATGCTGGGACTGAACCTGGGAACTTCTGCATACAAAGCATATGCCCTACTCCAGGCACAGGAAATGTGTTGCCCTCCAGATATTTTGGACTATGGGTCCCATAATCCCTGACTATGGCCATGCTGGCTGGGGCTGGTGAGGGTTGGAGTCCAACAACACTTAGCAGGAACCATGTCGTCTACCCCTATTCTACTCTAGGGTCCTTCCTCTAAAAAACAAAGAGATTCTAACTCTTGAGGTACTGAATAAGGGGTTGATTTAAACAGAAAGCTACCTTATACCAATTCAGACCATTGGTCCACCAAGCTGAGCATTGTCTATAGCAGGGATGGGGAGCCTATGGCTGTTGGACTCCCATCAGCCCCAAACAGCATGGCCACGAGGAGGGCCACAGGTTCCTGGTCTACACTGTATAGCAGAAGAATAGTTCTAAAGTTTCAGATGGGATATCCTCAGGCCTAACTGGAGGTGCTGTGGATTAGGATGCTGTCTGCTTAGGATCTTTTGCATTCAAAGCAGATGTTCTACTGCTAAGCTATGGCCTTTCCCCATAGACTCTAGAAATCCATTGCCCCAAGCCAGTTGACTTTCAGGCCTTCATGGGAAGCAACACATCCTTTATTTGCTGCAGTGCAGTGTAAACACTTAAAATTCTGCTTCCAAACAGCGTTAGACACACACAGCAATTACACAACAAATACCCATTGTGGCTAAAGGGCATTTCCCTAATGAAATGCTGAGGTGTTGTCTGTGGCCTGGCACTTTGACCATCAGCCAACCCCCTGCCCCACCTGCAGATACTTTTGCCACCTTCTTCTGGAGGGGAAAATCTAGAGCTGGATGGACTATTACACCAGCTGCCAGAGGTTATAGCTTGTACACTGCTTTGAGGTTTTCTACAGTCAAGCGGTACATAACTTGTATGAAATAAAAACTAGTGGGATATAAACATAATAGCAACAAAGATGCATTTGCCACTTTTTATCAGGTTAAAACCCAAACACATCCTTTCTTCATAAAATCCTGCCCTGGTAGAAAATCCCATTTTAATTGAGACTTACAGGGCAGGTGACAAAGGAACTCTCTCATTTGAAAAGCTCAATTCAAGAACCAGAATAGCCAGGTCTTATTTTATCTTGCATTCTAATGTAACACTTCTACTCAAAAATGACCCCAAAAGCAGCTTACATCAAAATAAAACTATTAAAGAGAGTCAAAATACAATCAAGAACCATCAGTAAAACAAAAACAACATGTGTGAAATAAGAAGTTTAGAGGCTGAAATAAATGAAATTAAACCAAACATAGTCTCTGAATGGTTGGGAGAGTCAGGAAATTTTCATCATGCACTGTGCTACCAAAGAAAGGAAGCTTCATGACTGGGGTGGCACCACCACCAAACAATGGGTCAAATGTATTTTAGGCTACTTTAAGGGGAGGCAGAAGAAGCCTTTCAAATGCTTTGTGCAAAATTTTCTCGTCAAAGACTCATGGGTTTGCCGACAGCTGCAAGTCTTGTGCAATTTTTTTAAAAAATCTATTGCTACTCTGCCACTTGATCTCAGCATCTTCACACACATCACATTCCAGAACTTACTTTTTCCATCACAGGCTACTATTTTCACTTTATCCACTTTCACAAGCTCAGTGACCTCTCTGAATTCAACATCATTCAGTACAAATGTCCAAACGTTGTCACAAAATCTGTATGTGTTCAGGGAGCCCTTCAGGAGCGAACAGGGGAAGGGAGAGAGAGAGAAAATAACATCTAAGTAACTTCAAGAAAAACTTCTTTGGAATTGTTTCACTCATATTTTGTGCCACCCATGTGCCTCAGAGTAATTCTGAAGGGCGTGCTTCTTGTGCCACCTTGTGGTAGGCTTAAAGAAAGAAAAAGAAAAACACCCACACAGAATAAAGGAGAGAATTAGAACAGCCAAATGCCGGACTGAGAAGTACAATTAGATCCCCCTCCTTAAATGCACAGTCCAGCCCTTGGGCATATAGCAAAGCTAACCCAGTTATTTGAAATTTTGTATTACTGCTGCATGTCCTGCCACCAACATTTTAGAACTAATTTGTTATAATGATTTATATCCACCTTTCAGGACACGAAGTCCATGTGCTGGTTTCTTTTCATATCATATATTTCACCTTTTATAAATCCTTCCAAGATGGCTCACATGAAACACTAAACCACATTTTTAAAAAATCAGGAAAAAATAATGTCAACATATAGAAAAAATAACCAAGGTGCCTCCTCCAGTTTTGCACTGCATTGGAACATCAAAGTATATATTCTTCTGAGTCCACATTTTTGCTGATTCCTAACATTAATTGTAAAAAAAAACTTGGAAGATTTTCCATACCAACTTGCTTTAGAGGAAGAAGTTGGAGTCAAATGAAGTCTGCACCCATTTTAAGTCAGCAAAAGTTACTGTAAATGGTAGAAGCCATTAGCTACTCTTCATTAGCATTTAGCTTTCTTACCCTGAAATTGACTCTGTTTCTGACCCGTTGTGCCAATGCAGAATTGATAGCTTTGTCAAATTGAAGTAGCACTTGAAGGGCAAGCTGGGGGGTGATCTGCTGAGACTAAAATGGAGAGGAAAAATAAAAACGTTCAGCTTTGAGGATAAATTACATTCAATATTGAACACAAGCTCATCTCTCAAAATCTTAAGTTATAACAGTTCTGATTACATAGAAACATTGTAATCACAGCTATAAAATTCCTTTATTATTATTTCAATTTCTAGCCTGCCCTCCACCAAATCAATGATCCTAGGGTAGGACGCAATGGACAACATAGCAACAATAAAATCATACAACACTTTAAACAAAAATGTCAAACCACTATCTAAACAACACATTCCTAATAACAGAGCAGACTGACAATTAAATTAAATTTGTGGCTGTTCTCAGTTACACCAATCCAATTAAAAAGGCCTGAGCAAAAGTTATCAAAAAATTATGCTTTCACAATTCTAACAACAGATAGAAAATTCCCTTGTTAAATTCTAACCAGTACAGTCCCAACGATTTTCCATATTTACCTGAACACCAATACAAAAATTAGCTACCTCTTAACATATTTCAGTCAGGTCTGTGTGTGTCTTAGCATGGGTATTCTGCCCATCTTCAGTTTTTCCAGAATAGCAAATAAGTATTTGATTTCTGGCATGGAGTTTGCTAGATTGCAAGCCTTATGCTTCCAGTTTAAAAAGTTTAAACTTTAAATGTTAGGTTTGCACTGAAAAGTTAGAAGGACCATCTTCCTTTGTGGATTTCCTCTTACCATCACACTAATGTGTTTCATCTTTACTTATAAATCCACACATGATGCAAGGCTTGGAAGGGAGGGGGTAAAGAGCAAATAAACACTATGTTACATTTTATTCAGTCATATTTTGAATATCTGTTGTGGCTTGTACAAGCATCCCACCATTTACGTGTGTTCAAGTCATGTACAGTGGTACCTCGGGTTACATACACTTCAGGTTACATACGCTTCAGGTTACAGACTCCGCTAACCCAGAAATATTACCTCAGGTTAAGAACTTTGCTTCAGGATGAGAACAGAAATTGTGCTCCAGCGGCACAGCGGCAGCAAGAGGCCCATTAGCTTAAGCGGTGTTTGAGGTTAAGAACAGTTTCAGGTTAAGAACGGACCTCCAGAACGAATTAAGTACTTAACCCGAGGTACCACTGTACAGTGCCAGAAACCTGGAAGTGAGGGAGAGACCTGAAGAGCCTCAACAAAGCTCTGCTACACCTCTGGCTCATGAGGAGAGCATTCCGGGATCCTCAAGAGGATACTCCTTTTGGGCTCCGAGGAAAGTCTCCTTGTGAGCTGGAGGTGCAGCAGGGTGCTCCCCACTTATGCTCATTCCACTTATGTGTCCAGGGGGCCAGATCATAACCCTGGTGTAAATTCAGCACTGGGCTGTTCAGGCTTACAAGGGCATCAAAGTCTACAGACTACCTGTATGAGCTCATCTAGGCTCTCCTGAAGACTATTCCCCAGCGTGGTATTTCTATAGAGCTGGTAGGCCATGGCTCATGAGAAGGGCAAAAAACCGTTGTTGACCATCCACAGATCTGAAACTGCTGCAACTTTCACCAAAAGCCTAGGAAATCCAGCATAACAATTAATGACCTAGACAGGGAGCAAAAATAGTGTTAGGGATGTTAAAGACTAACAGTGGAGTCGAATTGGAAATACCAAAAGGTACTGTGGCTTTTCTAATTTAAAAGCATACGAAGTAAGTAATTCTATTTCTTTTGCATACGTTTAGCACTTCAGTCACAGAGCTTCTTCTGCCTCAAAGAGGCCACTTGCTGCTGTTTGCTTTTAGCTGCGTTCAGCTGCTTTGATATTATGCAGTGTAAAAACTGTATTACATAACTCTTTTTATGCTCTGTGCCCTACCCCAAGAGGCAGATAAAAGAAAAGGAATAATATTTTAATGTATAATTTTATTTTATTTATAATTTTATTTGTGGAACACCTTCTTGGGCATAGCTTTCTCAAGGAAACTCACACACTGTAAAAACCCAGTGGAGTTTCAAATGACAAAGGTGGGAGTTTGATCATTTTAAAAAAGGGGTGGCGAACCTAAAATTATTTGGATTTGGAAAATTAGGTGGAGGGCTGCAGAAACTTTAGCCAACCCTACGGTACTGGTCTTCAACTGATCCAAGGTGGGTCACAACAGGAGCAATTTCTGCTCGCCCCATCCCAAGAGGTGGGCGGGGTTTGCGACACTGCACGGGCTTACCTGGCCAGGTGCCACCCACCTTCCAATAGGGTGGCCATCACCCTGCTCCCATCTCAGTAGGACAATGGGCTGCCAGCTGGGGGTGGGGTGAGGGCCAGGAAAAAAGGCCGATGCCCTTTGGCCTAGAGTGAACTCACTTGGTTTCCTTCGATTCACCCACCCGACCCTCCCTAAAAAGATAACATGGTCTTCTTTTGCAGGCTAACCTCATGCTTTCTAGGTCAGCAGGCGCTGCTATGGTCGGAAGATGGTTGTGGTATTCAGAACTGGGAAGGAATTCCCCTGCATTGGCAGGTTTTGCCTTCCCCATAGCAATTCGTCACAACTTTGGTGGTTTTTAGGCCTTGGTCGGTATCCTATAGTCTATCTTCGAGATGGGGGGTGACATCCTCATGCACCCCCACCTGGCGGTGTTGCAATGCCCCATAAAGTGTGGATTACTGGAGTCACTGGCCCTAGAACAGCGGCAAATAGGTCAAACTCCCGGCTTTGGTGAGGTGGAGGGTATGCTGTGTAAGTTCACGCTTTACAGTCTCTTCCCACTGACCTGCGCATCCTCAGCCCGTTGGGTTGAGAGGGATACCTTCCAAGGCCTAAGCCAAGGTTCCTACACCTAAAATTCAATAAAGTTGTGGCCTAATTTAAACCCATACATTACTGTCATGTCTCATTTCGGGGGTGGGGGGGGTAGGCTTCGGGGACAGGGTTTAGCCCGTGGGCTTGCAAATGGATGATTTAGCTGAGATTCCTGAATTGCAGGTGGGGGACTAGATGACCCTCAGGGTCCCTTCTATGATTAAAAAATGGATCCCCAGATGCATATTTGGGTTAAAAGTTTGAAGGTACCTGCCCCAGGGGTTGCATGACAGTGGAAGGCTTCCTGCCCACACAAACACGTGTACAGAACACCCACACCCCAAACCAGCCACCACCCACTTCAACTGATGCCTGCAGATTGCCTGGTGTGTGGGGGTGTGCGCCACTGCCCACACCATACACACCCAGCAATTGATCAGATCACCAGAGTTGGATGAGCAGGCAATATCCATCTCCCCAAAGACCCCAGCAACATCTGTCCTTTTCACAGTGGTGCTTTAAGAAAACTGCTAGCACATGCGCGAAGTTAAGTAGCGTCCATCCGGCATTGCTTTCAAATTGGATTGGGAACTGTGTGTTGAGATTCCTGCATTGCAGGGTCTGGGCTAGATGACCCTCTATGATTCTTTGAGAGATTCCCACCTCTGCCAAAACAAGTGGAGACTGGGGCATGACGAGGAAGATGAGGGTGGGGGACCCTGCCCCAATATTTGGGAGTTAACCACCCCTGTTTTAAAACCACAGAGCATAATAATAATAATAATAATAATGTACAATAAAACAACATTGTAATAGATTTTTAAAAAATATTGTTTTGGGGTTCAGTAACTTTTTAACTGTTACTTTTCACACGTGTTTTGCTTTCTGTACAGTATTCTGTCTGTGCTGCTTGGACTTGGGTAAGGCGCCCGAGTCCCGGCCTGGGGAAAAGGCGGCATATAAACAAGCAGAACAAGAACAACATTTCTATACTAGGAACTACAACGTTTCAAGAGCACGACTCTTCCCCACACGAAAGCCCTGGCAGAGCAGGGCCATTTTTAAACCCCCCCCTTTAACAACCAAGACTTATTATGGGTGCCGCCGCCGCGGTTCTTGTTCTTCTCAAGCGCCGCCCCAGCGAAGGAGCAGCAGCGCTGCCTTCCGTGGCGGCGGAGGCCTCCGTTTCCCGGGGCGCCGCCCCGACAGGGTCGCCCCTTTCCCGGCAGAAGGCGGTACCTGCAGCAGGAGGAGGAGGAGGCCGCGGCGCCTCCCGCCCCTCACGGCCACCGACGCGGAAACAGCGCACGACTCTTCTCCCTCCGCTCCCTCAGGCTGCTCGGTCCGGAAGCGGAAGCTCCCGCTCCGGAAATCGAAAGAGGACGTCGCTCGACCACCATAGAGATTCCGCGTAGCTGGGCTTGGGCGTGTTCCGCGCATGCGTCTGCCGGGGCGGGGCGAGGGGGCGGAGTCGAAGAACCCGTTTCCTTTTCGCCTCGTCCGCTTTTTGGTGGCGCCGCCCGCTTCCTGTCCGGTGGCTTTTGCTTCCGGGGCAGGGTCGTCCCTTGAGGAACATCTGTGGGGGGAGGGCGAGGAAAGGCGGGCCGGGACGGAGGGGGACTGGTGAGTATTGGGGCGGGAGGCTGGGGAGATATTATGGGATGGGGCGCCTGGAGGGGGTTTTAATTTGGGGGGGGGGGCTAAGGGAACTTGACGCGCACAGAAGCTTCGGAGCAGGAAATGAGGGGGGGCTCCCTCTGTCGCTTCACATTCAACCCCCCCCCCAATAATCTGGATAGTTGTTGACATTGCTTACGTATATCTGTTTATTCGTTGAAATACTTATAAAACTGGGAAGCGTGCAGGGTTGCCACCTTTGTTCTGGCAAAATACAGGACAGGGTGGGGCGGCTGGGGGCGGTCCCCCCCCCATCTGTTACTGAAGTGACTTCAGTCTGTTGCAGCCTCACAGGATGCCCCTCTGGACTTCGTCAGGCAGGCAGGCAGGCACGCGCGCGCGCACACACACACACACGAAATTGTAAATCTGCCTGTGCTTGGCTACCCAGAGCTTAAATACATGACCTTTCCCACAACCTTTCCAACACGTGCACTTGGAGAGAGAGAAGACCCGAAGTACAGGGCAAAACTGTAACAATACAGGATGTAGCATTTTCCATTGGAATAGGTGACAATCCTGTATTATACAGGACAGGTGGCAACCCTAGCATGCAGATGTAAGCTTTTGAACGGGAATCGAGGGGGGCAGCAAGAAGCCCTCCCCCATGTTCTAACCAAGAGCACTGAGAAAAGAAGTAGTAGATTGTCAGACTAGGACCCGGGACACCAGGATTCCAATCCCCTCTCAGTCATGAAGCTCACTGGGTGACCTTGGGGGGCAGTCACACACTCGCAACCTCACCTCACCAGGGTTTTTTGGGGGGGGCGCTATGTAAGCTGCCTTGAGTTCCTTGGAGGAAAGGTGGGATAAAATTGTAACAACCTCCACTAATAATTATGGTTCGTATATTGGCTTGAATAGCTTTCACTGAAGTCCCTAAGTGCATTTTATTTATTTATTTAATTTCTATACTGCCCTTCAGCAGAGGATCATAGAGCAGTTTACAATATAAAAACACAAAAATATGTAGCATAGCTAAAGGTAAAGGGACAAAAACAAAATACCCACCCACAGTTTGAAAAGCCATAGATTATACTCTTATGTGTTCACATAGTCTGATCCTGTGCAAGCTTGCTTACCTGGAAGTAAGACCTGCTGAGCTGAATAGGGCCTGCTATTAAGCTTGTGTAAAATGAGCTCCTTGGGAGTTTAAGTGTGAAGATGGGGCAGGAGAGGGGTTGTATGCAATTCTGCTGCATAAAGAAAGGAATGGGATTTTGTGATCTTAAAGATGAGGAATGGGGGGGGGGGACCCTGCAGGTTAAGAAGGAAGGAACGAAAACCTGGCTTTTGATGGAAATACTGTAGAAATAAAGGTAAAATTGGGATCTCATGACTATGCAGTGAACTAGGTTTAGCAATGGTAGGAATTGTGGGATTAGTGATGTGTATTTTTCAGCATAATTAATTGCCTTTTGAGCTTGTACAGTGTCACAAGAAAGGATATATGTTGTTCAGTTATTGAGCCAAAGTGACTTGTTCTGCATATCTTGGCTTCTTAGGATGAGTTTCAATATGAGTTTTGAAATTCTGCAATATTAAGAATGGCATTTTATGTAATCTTGTACAAAAACTCAAGCTATAATAATTTATCAGTGTTAAATGTGACTGAACTTGATATCCTTGTATGTGATAGCCTATGCAGTTAGCTCAGTTCAGAGTGTCAAAATCCTATGTCTTATTAGGAATAACCACCAATGCTATTGTGACCTTTTCGTGAAGAATTAAATGTGATCCTCAAAGGAAAACAATTCGCACATCATATATTCAAAGTACATGAATAACTTGCTATTTCACCTCTATATCTTTGTGTTTTTTGTTCCTGGAGGCTGTTAAGTGAGTGTTTTATTAAGCAACAAGTTGTTGGGTTATGTTGTAAGGCACACAGCCAAAACACTATCTGTCAACTGCAAGCAACATTGCTTGTGATGTGCTGGGTGGAGCTGAGCAATTACGAAATCTTCAGCTTGGCTTCCTAGTTGGCAGCTTTAACTGTTCTCCTAAGGGTGCATACAGTGGAAGACAGGAGTGCCTGGTGTGCTCTGGTCCATGGGGTTACAAAGAGTCAGACATGATTAAACAACAAAAGGGTGCATAACTTGCTAGAATTTTTTTCCTTCAAGGTTTGCAAAGCCAGGCAATGGACTTTATTGGGGATTCTCCTTGGGAGGTGGGTTGTCTTTTGTTTGCCTAGCCTACTGGTCAAGCCAACCTACCTTCCTCAGACTTATCCTGGCAACCCCTGCCCCCAAGCAGTGTGTCAGCTTCACTGCCGTTGCTTGAAGCTGCCCAAGCGCCTTATCATAACAGTATCCAAGGTAATTCCTCTGGAAAGGCTGGTGGGGAGGTAGGAGGCTGGTTGGTTGCTCGGAAACACTCAAATCACTCTGTGGCAGCAGAATCCAAATCTCTGGCAATAATTTGTGTGTGCATGTGGGGTGGGTTGGCTGACTTTGCCCAGGTGACCAAGGCTCTCTAGGTGCCATGGGAGGTGGTGGGATGGTAATCCTTCACACTTGCAGGGAAGTCTGGTCTTTTGTAAAAGGATGACACTGTACTGACCACAGCAGGTAGAACTGTTGAAGCTGCTCTTTCTACTGAAAGAGCATTTGGGATGTTGCCAGTGTAATGTGGGAGGTATACGTTGCCAAATCATAATGATGTAAACCACAGACTTTACTAAATACCCCCATACTTCAGGACTGCTATTACTTAGTGACTTTCTTCATACATACTATGTCCTGGATAGTGGAGCTTACCATGAAAAGTGGAGAAAGTTTCAAAAAGTTGCATAAAGCCACTCTTAGGGAACTTTCACATAAAATACCGTATTTTTTGCTCTATAAGACTCACTTTTCCCCTCTTAAAAAGTAAGGGGAAATAAATGTGTGTGCGTCTTATGGAGCGAATGCAGGCAGCGCAGCTATCCCAGAAGCCAGAACAGCAAGAGGGATTGCTGCTTTCACTGCGCAGCAATCCCTCTTGCTGTTCTGGCTTCTGAGATTCAGAATTTTTTTTCTTGTTTTCCTCCTCCAAAAACTAGGTGCATCTTGTGGTCTGGTGCATCTTATAGAGCGAAAAATACGGTATGTAGTAGGTTATGGGATTGTTCAGACAAACCCATGCCTCTTTGCTTTGCCTTCAGATTTGTGTCCTCACATTGCTGTTTCTCATTTATGTTACTCATCTGCTTATAGCTGTGATTCTTAGGAAGATAGATCAGCTCATAAGTACTGGAATTTCAATTGCTGAGCAAACACTTTCAAAATACTTTGCAGTTCTTGCCTAAGATCTAACACGAAGCAGGAACTCTGGATCACGTAGAATCTGCATCAGCCATTGAGGCGACACTGAGGATGGAAGGAGTTGAACTTAAAGAAGAGTGGCAAGATGAAGACTTTCCAAGGTAAGGAGTAGCTGTGGCAGGGCTTAATTTGCTCTGGAGCATATCTTCAGAAAGTGGAGTTTGGCTTGTCCCTAAAAGGTATTTGTCAGTTGTAGCCAAGGGAGGTACTGCTTCCTGTGTGTTCTGTGTTCACATGGCTCTGTAAGCCTCATCTTCTGCCCTCTTTTTATGTTGGGGATATTTTACATATTCAGCTATGAATTTAAATTACATTATTTCAAAAGCAGGCTCAGGAAAAATGCGCAGTTTATCTTTGCACATACATTCTTGTCTTGTGTACATATACACAATTGCCACATGATTTGAACCTGACTACAGAGGTTCAGCATAGAGGTAATAAAATTTTGCTTTACCATTTTTTTCAAACTGTGTCTTGAGATTTTAAAGAGCTTGCAACTTTTCAAGGTCCTGAAGGAGTGTTTTACTCCAAAGCATGCTAACCTACAATTAAGAGTTTTGCACCACTGAGCACTGGAGACTGTTCTCCATTTCATTTTGTTCATTTGAGGTCCTTCTCTCCCTGCTCTCTTTTCTGCCCTGCCCTGCAACTCTCCTCACCTGATATAATGGGCAGGACATGCTTTCTTATTGCAGGATGGTCTGGCACTGCCAAGGCTGATGCAAGCTGCTCACCAGCTGTTGCAGCTCTTTAGCCCTTAGAGTTGGAATGCCAGTGTGCAGACATTCAGCCACCTTGATGGGCCATCTAGGTACAGGTTATGATTTTTTTAAAAATAGGAATCCTTCTGTGACTCATCAGGCTGAATTTTCTGCAGCACTCTGCAGCACACAAGTTGGTGTGTGCCTAGCTTGCTCACTGACTACCATAAGGGTTGGCTAAATCCCAGTTGTTAACTCTTTGGGGCTTGCGTCACATTTTGTAGAATTGTAGAGTGAGAAGTGAACCCAAGGGTCATCTAGTCCAACCCCTACAATGCAAGAATCTTAGCTAAAGCATCCATGACAGATGGTCACCCGACCTCTGCTTAAAAACCTCCAAGGAAGGAGAGTCCACCACCTCTTGTGGGAGTCTGTTCCACTGTAGAACAGCTTTTACCACCAGAAAGTTCTTTATGATGCTTAGTTGGAATCTCCTTTCTTATAACTTGAAGCCAATGGTTCTGGTTGTGCCCTCCAGAGCAGGAGAAAACAAGCCTGCTCCAACTTTCATGTGATAGCCCTTCAGATATTTGACGATGGCTATCATATCTCCCTCAGTCTCCTCTTCCGGGCTAAACATCCCAACTCCTTCAACCATTTCTCATAAGACTTGGTTCCCAGAGCCTTGATCATCTTGGTTGCCCTCCTCTGCACATGTTCCAGATTATCAATATCCTCCTTAAATTGTGGTGCCCAGAATTGAACACAGTATTCCAGATGTGGTCTGACCAAGGCAGAATAGAGTGGTACTATTACTTCCCTTGATCTGGACACTACTCTTGATGCAGCCTAGAATAGCATTAGCATTTTTTGTTGCTCATCCTATTGACTCATTTTCAGCTTGTGGTCCACTAAGACCCCTAGATGCTTTTCACATGTACTCCTAGTAAGCCAGGTGTCCCCCATCCTATATTTGTGCATCTGGTTCTTCCTGCCTAAATGCAGAGCCTTACATTTGTCCCTATTGAAATTAATTTTGCTAGCTTGCACCCAGTTCTCCAGTCTGTTAGGGTTATTTTGAATTCTGATTCTGTCTTCTGCGGCATTAGCTACCCCTCCCATTTTGGTGTCATCTGCAAATTTGATGAGCATCCCCTTAATTCCTTCATCCAAGTTGTTTTTTAAGTTGTTGAACAACAACAGGCCCAGGACAGAACCCTGCAGAACCACTTGTCACTTTTTTCCAGGATGATGAGGAACCATTAAGAGTACTCTTTGGGTTCAGTCAGTCAATCAGCTACAGATCCACCCAAAGCTGGTGTCTGGGTGCTGTGTAAGAAGTGATTGGCCACTGATAGAGATGTGAAAGATGGAGGGGGGGTGAGGAAATATTTTTCTACTGGGTCCCCCCCATCTCTACTGAGCACTATTCCTCATTGTTTCCTCTTTGTTTTTTACTGTCCCAGACCTCTACCAGAAGATGACCATATTGATGATATGTCAGATCCTGCTGAAAGAGGGGACCAACCTGGTAAGTTTAGTATAAAGGAATATATGGTTCTACATATGACTTTGGACTTCAGTTCACATAATCCCTAGTCAGCATGGGAGGTGGAGTCCATTAGCATCTGGGGGACCACAGGTTTCTCATTCTGACTCTTCCCCAGGGGTCACCCGTGTGGGACCTGCAGGTGCCAGTGTGCCCATAACTTGGTAAAGCTGTAGGTAAATATCCCCTTAAAAATCAATAATGCCTGAGAAACTACTTGCTGTTCCTGCCCAGTTCCTGTTTGCACTGCCTCAGCCTCCTCTACATCAGTCACTCCCCCACTCCTGAAAACAGGATTGGGCATCTATCATCCCATTCATTCAGTACAGAGGAGATGTTCAAATGGCTTTTCTCTGGGAGCAGGTGCAGTGGTGGCTGAGGCAAGTGCCTTTTCTCCACTGATGGGTGGCTGACAGGGGGTTATACTTGCACCATTTTGTGGTCCTGCATTCCCCGTGGCCCCCCTCTGTTTTGTTGGCCACTTCTGATGCTGGGTAGATCAGACAGAAAATGAAACTGGAAAATAAACTGCTCTGGATTAAATATTCAAGGATGGAAGATACTATTTATTTGCTCAGATCTTTAAGGGACAATTTTCAGTCATTTTTTTTTTTATTTTTTACGTAGGAAAGTTTTGACTGTTTAACTGTAACAGAAGGCCACTACTCACTCTTCTGAGTGACTCCTGTTTGTCAAATAGTAGGAGCATAGAGGGCTGCCTTATACTAAATCAGACCATTGCTCCATCTAGTTCAGGACTGCATTAGTATATAATGAACTGTTTGCAGAACAATACACAGTATGTTAGCTATACCTCTTTAAAAAGGGCGATTGAAACTGTAGCATAATGCTTATGCTGTTTGTTTAAAAAAGTTTTCACTTACTAATGTTTGAGTTTGGTTTACATAGTCTCGGAGTATGCTTTCATCATTCTGTTTCTTTTAATAACTTAATCTGCATTTGGTGGGGGTGTATGGCCGTCACTGGCTTTAACATGTCTTATAGAATAAACTTCCCTTTTCAATTTATTAGAAGTGAATGGCAACAAAGTTAAGAAGAAACTATTGGCTCCAAATATAAACTTAACTCTGGATTGCAGTGAAGAATCAATTTTGTCTGACTTGGATGAGAGCGGGGATATTGATCTGGACGATATGGACACACCGTCTGAAAATAGCAATGAGTTCGAATGGGAAGGTAAGACTTGACTCTGTCTAAGCCTTGTGCATATGTATTTCCTCTGTTTCTTTTGCCAGCATTGTTGATCAGTGGAGCTGTTCTGTGTGGTGGGTGGCCCACTGGTTTTCTAGTCACTTCATCTGTAGCCTGCTGTGGCCTGTTTGCAAGGATGATAAAAGTCCTCCATATCAAATTGTGTACAGCTGGCATGGGCAGAACTTTGGATTGTGTGATCTGCTTTTTTTAAAAGCTAGAATCTAAGGGCCCAGCAACCAGAGCCTGCTCACATCTGTCAGGTTGGGGTAGGACACTGGGGGCATTGCTGTGCCAGCTAGTAAAATGTATAGGGTGGAAGTTCTAAAAGCAGGTGGTAGTTAGTTGTTTTGTAATTGTACGCTTCTTTTTTCCAAACTGACATAGCTACCGCTTTGCTTCAAGGCTGCTAGTGGCGTCTTTAGTTTAATTTATAAACAAATGCTACTGATATGAAGTGGAACAGAAGTTATTTTTGCTCAGCACAGGATTTTCCAGCTGGTACAAAACTGACACTGATGATAGCTTTTGAATCAATTGTGTACCAATGGTTCAGTAGAGATTTCAGAAAGGGGCCTCTTTTTTCAAAGCTATTCAGTTGCTCAAAGCAAGAGGCTAGACTTCAGCTTTGGTGCATCCTGCAGCCGATGACTGTGGTGGCATATTGCTTATTTGTATGAGCTTTTCAAATGTGGGGTGAGAAGTTCGCAGCTCTAGGTACTTAGACTTTGCAGTTCGCTGGGCTGAAGAGAGGCTGGAGTTGTTCGTTGTTGGAATAAGGTTTCTGTCTTTTCTCTTCTCTTTAATGCGGCTGTCTGCGTTTTCCTGGAAGGATAGTTTCCATTAACAACTCTGTCTTGGAAACAAACTACTAACATGCTGCAGTAGTTTTTTCACACCTCTGTGGTAAGGTTTGTGTTACTGAAATTAATTTGACAAAGCCGTGAGGATGATGTATTCTTCAGGACACTTCCCAAGTCCTGCTTAGTTTGGATTGAAATCTCTATTTTGCATGTCTGCCACTAATCATTGTGTTGAGATGATTCACTAAAATCAATGGGGAAATAATAGGTGAAGGGTAGATATCTAGGGCTGTCAACTGATCAAAGGGTTTGGGCATTATCCTAATCCACAAACTGATTTGGAATATCAAAATAAGTGTTGTATTGAACTAATTGCATATATGTAATCATTGCCTGATTAAAGGTATATCCACCTCAAGACTGTGGTCTCTTTTACAGGGGACAGCTCTGATTTACCAAAATAGATTCTTATCTGATCAGAGGACTAGTTGTTTAAGCTTCAATATATATTTACGGGTTTGGAAAGGAATCACAGCTATGTTCTTTCCATTTAAAAGCAACTCAGCACAATCACTGCTTAACTGCTTAGTCAAAATGCAACCCAAACAATTTGTAGATACGTTTCTTGACACTTCCTTCAATATAATGGGCACAGAACTTTTGAAGATTTGGGGCATACAGGGAAGCAACGAACCTACTTTGTCTAATCTGTGATTCACTGTAACAGTATTGTAATTCCTTTTTTAAAAAACAAAAACAAAAATCTCTGAGCAGATGATCTTCCAAAGCCAAAAACTACAGATGTGATTCAAAAAGGATCGTTACAAGAATATGCAGCATCAGATGAAAAAGAGGAGGAACGGCGATGGCGGATGTTTCGGATTGGAGAACAAGATCACAGGGTGGATATGAAGGCAATTGAGCCATATAAGAAAGTTATCAGTCATGGAGGTGAGAATAGTGACAGTCCCCCACCCCCCAAAAAAAGAATTGCAGGATGCCTGAAGAAAAAGCATAACAATTAGATTTTTCTTCTTCTTTCTAGGTTATTATGGTGATGGGTTAAATGCAATCGTTGTATTTGCAGTTTGCTTCATGCCGGAAAGCGGGCAGCCAAACTACAGATACTTAATGGATAATCTCTTTAAGTGAGTTGTACTTGATGAATGCATGAACCTGCCTTATTCCAAGTCAGACCTCCGATCCCTGCGTTTCCTCCCATGTCAGAGGCAGAATGCTTGCAAGTGGTGGAGGTGGAAGCAGACAGCAGTAGAGGGCCATTGTGGCCTTTTCTTGCGGGGACATTGGCTGGCCTGAGTGCTGGGCTAGATAGGCCATTGGTCTGATTGAGCAGGCCTCTTCTCATGATGATCTTTCCTTAACCCAACCTGAAGAAGCTTCTGCCTTAGCTCTTGCAAAGTCCTCCTACCCTTCCAGTGGGGCATGCCAGGGAATGCCTGGAGACCTCTTTCATGCCAAGCGCGTGAGTGATGACCTCTCAGACTACAAATACAATTTTGGCTTTCATTCCTGACTCAGTTTTACATGTTCCTTAAAAGGAACTGCTGCCTGATTAACAGAGCACAGGAGAGGAATGCAGTGGCCATAAGGAAACTTGGTGGGGGAGATAGCACAAGAAACCTCACTGTCCGTCTCTCCTCCCACCCCCAAACAGGTATGTTATTGGCACACTAGAATTGTTAGTAGCAGAGAACTACATGATCGTTTACCTAAATGGTGCAACAACACGGAGGAAGATGCCTAGTCTAGGCTGGCTCAGGAAGTGTTACCAACAGATTGATAGGAGGTAAGAAGAATTTGAGTTGCAGCCAACTGCATAACACATGACAATTCTTTTAAAGTGTTATTTACTTCTGTCAAGTGATGTAAGACAGCTCTGTTGTCACATCCTTTGTGATTGGGGTTCCATACTCCCAGGGCAGAAGTAGTGCTGGTGCTTAAGGTGGCGTGTTCTCATGAAGAGAAAAAACCTTCTATGAAAATGTGGTAGAGCCCGTTTTTACACAGTGTTGAGCATAGTTCTGAAGAAACTTTCAGAAGAGTGGACTATAAAACCTAGAAAGCTATTTATACTGAGCCAGGATGTTGTTCCGTATCGCCTACACTGACTGCCAGCAGTTCTCCAGCGTTTAAGGCAGGAACCTCCCAGCTCTCCAAGGGGATGCAAGGGACCGTCTGCGTGTAAAGCAGATACTTTTCAACTGAGCTACTGTATAGAATTGTTTCTGTTCTCTATCCTAGAAGGAAAAGTCATATTGGATACTAGATGTCATTAGTGTCCATCTTGAATGTCTTGCTAGGCAGGCGTCTCGCATTTCTGCAGCAGCTTGGATAACAGGGTGACTAAGCTCCAGTTTGGAGGCCTGAAACAGCCCCCAAAAGCAAATGTCCCTGACACCCCCCTTTGTTCTGGCAACTAGGTTGAGGATGCAGGTGTATGGGTTCACCTCTGCCCTTGTCCCAGAATGGCTCTCCATTCCATTCCTATCTCCTGCCCAGGAAACATGGCAAGAGCCTGTCTCTGCAGGTATGGGGACACACTCCCCTTCATTGTCTCTTCAAATCACCTGAGCATAACTGTGACTTTGCTATTTTAGTCTAATTCTAATGCTGATCCCAGACTCACTAGGAGTTTCTTTCTGGCTTACACCTAGAGTAGAGCACTAGCAACGTTCAGTGTCTGCTAGTATCTAGGCTTTGTTATTTTCCTCTTGCTTCTCTTGTTGATTGCATCTTTTTAATATTTTGATTGAACTTTAGGTTAAGGAAAAACCTGAAATCATTAATAATTGTTCATCCTTCCTGGTTCATTAGAACACTTCTGGCAATCACAAAACCTTTTATTAGGTAACACCCATAATACTTACTTCATTTTTTCAGTACTGGTACGTTTAGCATTTCAACAGTAACAGTGTCTTTTCTGTTCTTTTTTTCTAGCTCAAAATTCAGCCAAAAAATCAGATATGTCTTTACTTTGGCAGAGCTGGCAGAACTCGTCCCCATGGAATACGTTGGCATACCTGAATGCATAAAACAGTAGGTTGCTGGTTCCATGTTCATAATCCCAAAAATGAAGCATAAATGCTCAGTAACAGAGCAATCCAAACTTTTAGGAAACAGACACCGCTATATGAAGAGCCCTGCCAGCTCACAGTGGCTATTATGAGGTTGAAGGAGCAGTGTTTTCCCCTGTGCCCAAAAGTGATTCCAGCTGGCATAGTTGAGGGCCTTTTGTGCACGTGTGATTGTGTCCAGGGACAAGGGGGCTTGGGATCCTGTGTCTGCATTGCAGGGGGTTGGACTAGATGACTCTTGGAGGTCCCTTCCAACTCTATGATTCTGTGACTTTGCTGCCACCTCTGACACCCCATATTGAGCCTTACCACTGTCGGAGCACCACCATTGTGCCAACAGCAGTGGTGGTGTTGTTGTGAGGCACTACAGTGAGAAGCAGATGATATTTTCCTCTTCCAGTGGAGAATGAGGTCTTCAGCTTCCCTCCCCAAGTCTCCAGTCCTATACTTGGTTGGCACAAGCTCCATTGAACTCTATGGGATTTACTTCTGGGTAGACATGTATATAACTGCACTCTGAGTTTTTTAAAAAGTTAAAATGCTTGCCTCAGCCAATATTTCCTCCCAGTGCAGCTGGTAGTCAAAGTGAAGGTACAGTATAAGTTGGGTTATGTGCAAGGAGGCATAATTATGTCCCACAGCAATTGGTAGTACTGCCAGAGCTGGTGTGGGGAAGTTATACACTTCCTAGATGCTGTTAGACTAACTCCTAGCAGCCTCAGTCAGGATGGCTGGTAGTCAGACAGGACAAGGGTTGTTGTTCAGCCACATCTGAAGGGTGACATGTTTCTCCAGAGGGAGCAGAAGGACTTGGGGGCTGCCTCTGGCATGCCCCCTGGACTTCGGCCTCTATCTCAGTTCCACAGTAAAATGTTGTGCTGCTTAGGTATATGATTTAGGGTTGGTAAGCTATGTAAAGCCCAAGACTTTAAAAGCCCTCCACCCACTGTGATCTCTGCTCAAGAAAATAACAGAATTGTTACTCATTAATAACCCAGTGATATTGCCTTATGAACTTCCTTGAACCTAAAAGACATCTGGGGACTTAGAAAACACTGGTCCTTTGGCCTTGTGTGCAAAGGTAGCTTAGTGTGACCAAGAAACACAACTGGGACAGGGTGAGAGGGGTGGGCATGGTAGGGATGGGGGTGCCCTGGGTCAGAAAGCCCAGGTCTCAGAGAAGACAGAACGATCTGTTTATTACCTCTGTTTGTTCAGAGGTTGACAACTTATTTACTGATGGTCTGTACTTACTTTTGACTACACACGCCAAAACTCTTAGGATTGCTTTAATGGTTTTAAAGTGACCAACAGGGAAGCTGACTAAACAGTGCTGGGCAGCAAATGATCTGGTATGGGAACTGAAATTTGGAAGATCCTACAAATGAGGCTTGTTTGTGCCAGTTTCCTAGTGACTCCCCACCCCGTCTTCCAAGGCTGTTATAAGAGCATATGTCTGAGAGATTCCTGCTGTGTGCCTAACCACTGCACCACAATGGCTCTCTTGGTTGCCAGGCTGGGATAGCCCAGATTCAAACCCTTACTCAGCCATGAAGCTCATTGGATGACCTCGGGCAAAGCACTCTCTTTCTGCCTAATCTACCTCACAAAGGGAGTGGGTGCCCAGGTACTTTTTGGAGAAAGAGCAGGATACAAATGTGATAAGGATTTTATAATAGTAGTGTTTCCTATCACTTTCTATGTGCTTCACATACATTAAAAAACACCAGGATGCCAATTTAGTAGACATGACACAAAAGGAAAACTGAATAGGGAGGGAAGAGGAAAGTTTTTGAGTAGCTCATCCTCTGCTGGCCAAATGAATGGGACCAGGTTGGTCTCCTCCTTGCCATGGTGGCCTTCTTAGGACACGGGGTTCAGCCTCCCTGGGCAGCATGTGCCTCCCCTCATCTCTTCACTCCAACTGGCAGCTGGAGCAGAGTGTTCTTTTCATGCAGGGAGGGAGGCACACAGAGCGATCTTGCAGCAGGCATAGTACTTTTACTAGAGAGAAACTAAATGCCTTTACTTTTGTCCACCTTAGCATTATTGTGTAAAGCCCTTGCCCAAGACAGGTGCTGTGAGCTGGATTTTGCTGGTATACGGAACTGCATCTTATTTACTAAAAAAACATTTTCCCCACTAAGGTATGAAGAAGAAAAATTTAAAAAGAAACCCAAAAGGTATATGCACATCTTGATCAGGGCTGTATCTAATCTAGCCAACTTTGCACTGTGCTGAATGTTGGGATATATTTGGCTTGCTGGGCTGCCTGCTGCTTGTATGAATGAACATGCACCCATTGTGCCATCGTGTGGTGTGGGTGTCTCTGGCTAGCTTATGCTGTGCTGTTCACATAATGTTGTGCAAATGGCTCGTTGCTTCAGAAGGAAGCCGAGTAGCCAAAAGGCTAAAGCATTTGCTGTCTAATTATAGCGCTAAACCTAGAACTACAATTTTCCGCTTTAGGAAGTTGGAGAGCAATTGCTGCAAAATACATTCTTAATTCTAGGTGGAGAGTGACTGTGACTCAGCAGTCACTGAAGTTCAAAATTGCTTTAATTTGCATTGTCACAGTCTAAACTGGCTGAACACCATAAAGGGGAAGAGGGCTTTGTACTGCCTGTATTTGCTATGTCTTTTTCTTTTTTTCTTTTCTCTTATCCATGCATGCCGGGGTTCTCTGGTGCTCAAGAAGTGCATGGCCTGCTAATAAACGTATCTCAGCAACTTCTTCACTTCACAAAATATTGTCCAGTCCAGAGCACCAACTGCTACTCTTGCCACTAACAATTTCACTTGATCCAGAATGTGCCCATGCTGTATAATGATTCCAAATGCCTATTTGTGAAGATGATTTTTTTGGGGGGAGGGGTTGTTCCCTTGCAAAGAAGGGAGCAAACTGCTACTTAGCAAGACAGACCTACTCTCTCTTCAGAGCTATATCACAAAACAAAAGGATAAATCTGGGGAAGGGGCTATGCGTACATCAGGATTCTGAAACAGATTGCAAAAATGCTTCCCCACATTTAATTCAACCCTTTGTAGCATTAGAAGGAATTTGCGCAGCCAGTCTGTATGGGTTGCACACAAGGTTTTTGCATCAGGCACAGCATTGCTTTGAGGCAAAGCTCAGCTTTTGGTGTCTGAACTGCCCAGCAGTGCTGCCCTTTCCCCTTAAAATGAAACTTGGACTACATTTAAAATGAGCTCCCTGAAATCCACTGCTCATTTGCTGTGTTGGTCTTTGCCTCCACAACTGCCATTCATTGACCCGGTTTGCATGTAATGTCACGCCGTGGCTGAGAGTGAGTGTACTCAAGGGAAGGCCACAGGTGCTTTGCTTCTCTCCTGGTCCTGGAACCCTGAGCTAAGCCATGGTTTTTCATAACATTTGCATTCATACCTGTGCTTATAGTTTGTCTTTCTCCTGATGAACCATGAGCTGCAGCTAAGGTTTGATTTTTGGGAAGGTGCAGAGCGGCCACAGTTTCTAATGGGAGTATCTGCATGCTTATGCATTCACGCTTAGCCATGGTTTGACTTAATGCTGCATGCAAACTGGGCCTTTGACTTAACACACAGACCCCCAATAAACTTCCCACTGTTGTGGAGGAGGAGGTTCTTCACCATAGCTTAAACCAGGGAGAGGTGGAATAAGAGATTTGATACCATTTTCTTGGAGCAGTGAAGGGTTTCAAACATTGATATTTGGAAGACCTCTGATTTGCTGCTTCTGCCTTTCCTCTAAAAATCTGACGTAACTTAAATATTAAACTTCACCACCAACTGTGGAAAGGAGAGGGAAATACATGTGAGGAAGAGAACAGGCTTCATACCAAATCAAATCATTAGCTCATCTCGGTCAGTATTGCCTACACTGGCTGGCAGTAGCTCTTTAAGATTTAAGGCAAAAGACATGCCCAGCCCTATCTGGAGATGCTTGTGATTCTGCACGCAAAGCAGGTGCTCTGTCACTGAGCTGCAGCCCTGTCCCAGCAAGACTAGTTAGGAACTTAGTATGGATGCAACAGTTCCAAAACTTGGCATGCCTCATTGGCTGCCTATCAGTAAATTAAGAAATTAGTTTTTTTCAAGGCAAAAATACCCTTTATAAAGTTGACTTTCTTGGAGCCCTAGACATCTAGATATACTAACTGTAAGGAACGTTTCACACCACTATATGCTGGCCAAGCTGAGTTTGCCACAAGCGTCTACACTCAACATGGAGCTCCAGTGACCCCAAGTACATGTTGAGTTAACAGGGAGAGATGTCATTATACACAAACCACTAGGGATTTCATTCAGTAGGGTCACGTGCAATGATTCAGTTCTGTGTGGTTGTAGGTCTTGGTCTGAATAAATTGAGGATAAATGAAGGAAGTGGTATCTTCACTGCTTTTTTCCCGGGGGGACGCAGGGGTACGCATACCCCAAACATTTTGTGAATCTCAGTTTGGCCCCATTGAGGCGCAGTATTTCAATATGAGTAGGAAAATGAGAGTACACCAAAAGATTTTTTAAAGAAAAAAGGCACTGGGTATCTTACTGTATTGTGGTCTATTTTTTCATTTTCCTGTTAATTGTCATTTTTAAAAAGTCACATTGTATTCTCCTTACAAGTTCTAATTCATTATTCTGGGGGGAACTTGCTTCTGTACTTGTGCCTAACAGTTTTGCTACAATTGCAAAGTAGTAAGCATTACTCTCCCCCGCCAAAGAATTTTAAATTTCTACACCCTGGTTGAAATTAGAGTTTAACATTTCACTCCCCACCCCCACCCCCTTCTGTCTGATGAGCAGAATTGACCAAGAGCTTAATGGGAAACAGGAGCAGAAGACCGAACAGTGAAGTATTTTATTTTATTTTTGGTGTGTTCTGGAGTCCAACCAAGACTGAAGAAAGTGCTGATGGAATGACGTCTTGCATGAACAAAACCTGTTCGGAGGAGGAGGAGGAGAACTGCCTGCCTCTGGACTTTTACCTAATGGACTACTCGCTGCTGAATGAATTTTCAAGTCCAGGCTAGATGTTGACACTTAATAGCTGCCTGTTCTATACTGCAGTATCGCAAAGCATCATAGGAAGCACCCATGGGGTTTTTTTTAATCCTAAATGATGCTTAGTAAATATTTATATGCTTAAATGTTAAGGAAAGAGATAATATATATTTTTTATGACTTCTCAAAACAATTATAATGTTTATCTGCAAAACCCTCGCAGGTAAGCCATGCTATAAAAGACTGTTTCATTTATTTGATAATAAAAGTGCATGGCAATTTCCTATAAATGGTCAAACACTTCTTGCCAGACCGAAAGAAAAGCAAATCAACATGACCTCATTGATTCTTGCATAAACACGGAGGTTCTTTTGTTTCCCATGTTGGGTATACCCTGCTTGCAGAGGTGTCCTTGGCACAAAAAGGACACTGGCTGAGTCGTCTTAGTTTCTTTGGCCAGAGGGCTTTTTATATTTGGTCTGGAATGGCTGTGCTTCTGAAACAGATGGATATTCTGAAACAAGGAACTAAGGATGCTTAGATGTGCATGTGTTAGAGCCCTGATTTCCAGATTGGGTACAAAGAACCGTATTGGTATAGGTGAACCACCCTTGGAACAATAGGTGCCTTCCAGTCAAGCTGGAGATCAAGGTTGGAATTGCATTTTGTAAGGAACACAGGGCTGTTGCCCCCAAATGGTGTGCCCCCTCCTGCAGTGTTGGAAGTCCCCCTCCCCCCATGACATGCAGTACACCTTTTCTCATATCCTGATGTCACTCTGGCTTTCTTGCTCACCAGTAATGTAGGTTGGAGAAACTCGCAGCATGTTGGCATCAGGATATGGTTGGTGTGGTGAATTGCCTGCTGTGGAGAAGGAGAGCTTGGCACAAGTGTGTACTTGGTGACAGCCCTCTGCTGCTTGTGGGCCCCCTCTGGGTGCTTGGCTTACAGCTCCCATCAGCCCCAGCCAGCAGGCTTTGTGGCCAGAAAAGGCTCCCATGCACCTTTCACAAGCACTAAATTCACTTTATGTACTTTTTTTTAAAAAAGGAGTCTCTATATGTATATAAATTCTGCATGTTCTGAAGCCTTTTCACCTGTGTGCAGAAATTGGCTGCGCTTGTGCGGCGGGATCTATAAACTGCACACCTAAGCATATGCACTAATTCCTATAGGTTAATCCTCAAAGCAGTTGCCTTGTAGCAGAGATCTTAACACACACTTTGCTGACCATGGAAGACATGGTTTTTAAAAAAGTTTTTGCTTATTCACAACGCCGTTGAAAACACCCTTTTGTCTCCAAACTGTTTACTTGGAAATGCTGCCCTTGTGTCAGTGTATCAACTTAGTCAATAAATAGTGTTTTTACAAAGAGGAAATGCGTTTTAATTGGGTGTTTTTCTTGCAAAGAGTTCTGGCACTCTTCAGAGTATGTGTTCACCGTTAAAGTGGTGGTTGGTGTGAGTTACTGTCAAGATCCATTGACTTATCATGAGCTTCTTGTGCACCCTGGATCTTAATGTAATGCCGCCTTGTTGGAAATGAATGCTGCTTCTCCATTTATCCTGGAGTGGGGAAGAGTTACCTAAAGGAATTGCAGGACAGTTTTCCTGTGTTGACGCTTATGATGCCTGCTATTTGAGGTGGCAGAGGAGCCAGTCTGCAGAATGGAAAACCTATGTCTAGATGGACGTTATACACTGACTGTTGCGCTTGCTGTTTGGAAATCTGAAAAACTCGTGGTATGGTATGGTTTATTTATATACCACTTTTTAACTCAAGGCTCCTAAAAGCAGTGAACAACAATATACCGTATATTAATGCAAATAATATATATGATAAATGCACACTGTATCAATCAAAACAAAATAGCATCAGAATTCAGCCATGAATACAGATCATGTGATAGGACTTGATTCTCACGAGGTGCAGTGCACTGGAGATTGCAGAAATATTCCATTCTACTTTGGTTCTTTGCGAGAGCAAATAAGTCACCAGAATACCCTTGTTGGCATTTCTTTTTACTCATCATGATAGAACCTCTCAAGCTTGGCTGTAGGAATGGGGGACCTGTGGTCCTCCAGATGTTAGCTGTGCTGGCTGAGGGTGAAGGGCATTGGGAGTCCAGCAACACTCCTGCTCTGTTGCTTAACTTGATGGGGATTTTAGCAGGTAGCCTTAGAGCAGGGGTCAGCAAACTTTTTAAGCAGGGAGTCAGTCCACTGTCCCTCAGACCTTGTGGGGGGCCGGACTATATATATATATATTTTAATGAACGAATTCCTATGCCCCACAAATAACCCAGAGATGCATTTTAAATAAAAGGACACATTCTACTCATGTAAAAACACGCTGATTCCCAGACCATCTGCAGGCCGGATTTAGAAGGCGATTGGGTCATATCCGGCCCCCAGGCCTTAGTTTGCCTACCCATGCCTTAGAGTGGTTCGATTATCCAGGTCCTGCATCCCTACCTGTAGCCCATTGAAAACCTCCTGAAGGCCAGAAGACCCTCTGGAGTGGCGTTCAAGTGTAGTGTGAGGGGTGACAATAAAAAGGAAAGCCAGAACTTCCTGTAGACACACTTGTTTCTCATCTGTTTTACAGCTTCCTAAGGGCTGGTGTTTTCTTCTCTCTTGTGGCTACAAGACACCTGGAATTTAGAGCAGTTTGCCTTTGGAAAAGGTTGAAACAAAATAATAAAAAAATTTCTTCCAGTAGTAGCTTAAGAGACCAACTAAGTTAGTTACTGGTCTGAGCTTTTGTTTTTTTATTTTGTTTTGTTTCGACTATGGCAAACCAACACGGCTACCTACCTGTAATTTGGAAAACTTTGACACTTTTCTCCTATGCAATATGCTTGCACAAAGTAAAACCAGTGCCTGGGGCAGTATGCACTGAACGGCAGTTGCTGCAATTCGGAAGTGGAGAGAGTGTTGTCGGCTTCCCAGGGGCACCTGGCTGGCCGCTGGAGATTAGGATGTCTGCCTGAATGGGTCTTTGGCACGATGCAGCAGGGCTCTTCCGTTCTTCTGACTTTATGTGGCCTCTGCATAAGTAAATGAGACTTGCATCACCAGTTTTCCTTACTCTAAAATGGAGGCAAGTAACTTCAGAGCTCCAGTTCACATGCAGGCCTTGGCGAGCTTCAGCCTCTTGTAGGAATCTTGTTGGCACTGAAATCTTTTAACAAGCCCAGCCAGTTGTAAACCAGAGATACTCAGAAAACCAAAAGCTTTGACGAGGCATCCCTGCTTTTAAATAATCTGTAGAAGGGATGTGTGGATGGTTAAAAAAAAAGTTCTAGCTTTCACTAACTTACTTAGAAAACTTCTTAATTGTTTTCTATTCAAGAGAATCTTAAAGTGATATACGTAATATGCATAAAATACATGGTAAAATATTAATATAAATAATCAAATAATAGCCTATTAAAATAACATACAAGCCATTCAATAATACCCACAGTTTCCCTCAGTACAAAATCCCAACCAGTTATTTTGTATAACAAGGAGGACTGGCCAGATGACAACTCCTACAGCCTCAGAATTCAAATAAAAGCAGTATCTGGCCTGGCCTGGGGCAGCACATTCCCATCCTCCCTGCCTCACACCTGGGAACATAGGTAGCTCTGTGCCAATAAGGCTCAATGAGCATTTGTGTATCTAGATTGAAAGGAGGCCTCAGAGAAAATGAATGTGCAGCAACCACACTGCTCTTAAAAGAGAACTTTGGGAATTTCACAACTGGCATTGCAGCATCACACTGTGGGCTAACATGGTGAAATGTTCGTGCATTGTCATGGAAATGTTAATTAACTCCTACAAAGACATAAGTGGCAGGAGGTTTAAAGTTTTAAAAACTAATTGTTTTGTACGCTTCTCAGTTTTATTTCAGCTACAGTTTTGCTTTGTTTTTGATTTAGCTCTTAGGGAATATTATTGGATTTTGTTGTGTTGCTGTGTAAGACCAGGAAGGTGTTGTTGTCTGGGGATGGCCTATATATGGCTGTTTCCTGTTTCCAGAGAACCTTACACAGCAGGCGAACCTGACCATGGGATGGGGCAAAGAGCACCTCCTGAGTGCAGCACAAGCTTCTTTTAAAACCACAGGCCAGTCAAAAAGTATCTCTTCCTTTATTTTTGGCCAGAATATTCAGTTGCTACTGTCAAGCCTATGAGACAGATGGAGACGAAGGAATGTTTTGAACAAGAAGGTTAATATGAAGTTCTTCTAAAGTACTGCAAACGATTGCTGTTGAGTGGATTTATTTACTTGAATATAAATAGTGAGGTTTTTAAATGTTGGTATTCTGTATATTTGCTGTTGGGATATGATGAAAGAAATCTGTATGGTGGGGTCCTGGAGTTATGAAAATAGTTTGTGGTAGAAAAAAAAGGAAGTTTTAAGAAAACCTATTACTATGTGTAATACAGTGGTACCTCGGGTTACATATGCTTCAGGTTACAGACGCTTCAGGTTACAGACTCCGCTAACCCAGAAATATTACCTGGAGTTAAGAACTTTGCTTCAGGATGAGAACAGAAATCGTTCTCCGGTGGCGCGGCAGCAGCAGGAGGCCCCATTAGCTAAAGTGGTGCTTCAGGTTAAGAACTGTTTCAGGTTAAGAACGGACCTCTGGAACGAATTAAGTACTTAACCCGAGGTACCACTGTATAGATAACCTCTGCAGAAAAGGGTAGTCTCTTTTTGTGAGCTATGCTGTGGCATACAGTATGCTCACAACTTACGCGGGAGTTATGTTCTGGGGATCGCACCTAAAGCAAATTATACAC